GTCCTCACCTGATTTTATTTTGGAAAGAGGACATTTATACTTGAAAAGAATTAAAACAGGTACAGGTAATTTTGAACTCACTTTCTTTAGGGCTTAGTAGATGATTGATATTCTGGAAGTCTGAAATCCTTGGTCTAATTATCCAAAATAAGGAGGAAATCCAATCAGGTCAAATCCCCTGTGAGCAAAAGTCTTACTATGGGCTCTCTGGGCCATACCCTCCGGGGGCACATCCTGTGCCCAACCCCTATCTACTGCAGCCCCAGTAACCAGACAGCAACATGCTCCATGCCCCTCAACCATCTCCATTGCCACAGCAGCAACCATGGGAACCACACACTCACCTACATCTGGAGGAAGAGGTGAGTGTATGAGCTCCCAACTGGACAGTACTGCTCTCTCGGCTCTAGCCCCTAAAGGCACATCTTGTGTCCCACCACCATCTATCACAGACCTAGGAACCAGGCAGTAGCATCTTCCCTGCCCCCACCCCAGAATCCCCCACTGCATCAGATACCTCAAGAGCCATAGGCCCCACCTGCATCAATTGGAGTAAGAAATGGGAGGACTAGAGTGTAATAATGCATTCAGCATCATAAAGAGCAATACAACAGCACCAGAAACTAGTGGTTCTGCACAACAAGTTCTAAACATCCCAACACAGGTGAAGCAAAAGAAAAGGACATTAAAAATAACTTTATGAAGATGTTAGAGGCTCTTAAAGAGGAAATGAAAAATTCCCCTAAAGAAATGGAGGAAAAGATAAACAAGAAATTTTTAAGAAATCAATAAATCCCTTAAAGAAAACCAAGATAAAACAATCAAACAAGTGAAGGAAACAGTCCAAGACTTGAAAACTGAAATAGGGGCAATAAAGAAAACATAAACTGAGCAAATTCTAGGAATTGAAAATCTGGATAAGCGAATAGGAACTATAGATGCAAGCATAACCAACAGAATACAGGAGGTAGAAAAAAGAATCTCAGGTGTTGAGAGATACAATAGAGGAAATAGATTTATCCATCAAAGAAAATGTCAAATAAAACAAATTCTTGACATAAAATATCTAGGAAATCTGGGACACCATGAAAAGATCAAACCTAAAAATTATAGAGATGGTGAAGAAATCCAGCTCAAAGGCCCAGAAAATATATTCAACAAAAACATAGAAGAAAATTTTCCCAAACTAAAGAAGGCAATGCCTATAAATGTACAAGAAGCTCTTACAGAATGCTTCTAGACTGGACACTAAAAAATCCCTTCGCCATATAATAATCAAAACAATAAACATACAGAATAAAGAAAGAATATTAAGAGCTGCAAAGGAAAAAGGCCAAGTAGTGCATAAAGGTAGACATATCAGAAACACACTGACTTCTTGGTAGAAACACTGAAAGCCTGAAGGTCCTCGACAGACATTCTGCAGGCATTAAGAGACCATGGAAGCCAGCCCATGGTCTCTTAATACTACTATACCCAGCAAAGCTTTCAATCACCATAGATGGAGAAAACAAGATATTCCATGACAAAACCAGATTTTAAAAATATCTATCCATAATCCAGCCCTACAGAAAGTGCTAGAAGGAAAACTCCAACCTAATGAAGTTAGCTGCACCCACAAAAACACAGGTAACCAAAACCTCACACCAGCAAACCACAAAGAAGGAAAACACACAAACACTAGCACCACCACCAACAAAACCAATTACAACAGGAATCAACAATCACTAGTCATTAACATCTCTTAATATCAATGGATTCAATTTGCCTATACCAAAATAGGAGCTATCCTTTGACTGTATATACAAGAAACACACTTCAACCTCAAAGAGAAACATTTCCAATCAAATGAACCTAAGAAACAAGGGGATGTAGCCATCCTAATATCTAACAAAATAGATGTCAAACAAAAATTAATTAAAAAAGATGGAGAAGGACATTTCATATTCATCACAGAGAAAATCCATCAAGATGAAGTCTCAATTCTGAACATCTGTACCCCAAATGCAAGGGCACCCACATTTGTAAAAGAAACATTAGTAAGTTAAAATCACACACCCAATCCCACACATTAGTAGTGGGAGACTTCAACACCACACTCTCACCACAGGAAAGGATTACCAGACAGAAACTTAATGGAGAAATAAGGGAATTAATAGTTGTTATGATCAAAATAGACTTGACAGATGTCTACAGAACATTCCACCCAAACACAGAAGAATATACACCTCAGCACCTCATGGAACATTCTCTAAAACTGACCACATACTTGGTAACTAGGCAAACCTTAACAGATAAAAACAAAAATTGAAATAACCCTCTGTATCTTATCAGATTACCATGGCTTAATGTTAGAATTCAACAATACTAATTGCAGAAAGCATACAAACTCAAAGAAATTGAACAATGCTCAACTGAAAAAAAGAATTTAAAGACTTCTAGAATTCAATGAAAATGAAAGCACAACATACCCAAACTCACGAGATACTGTGAAGACAGTGCTAAGAGGAAGTTCATAGCACTAAGTGCCTACATAAAAAATGTAGAGAAATTTTACACTATGGACTTAACAACACACCTGAAAGCTCTAGAACAAAAAGAAGCAAACTCGCCCAACAAAATAAAATAGAAACAAAGAAAACAATACAAAG